GTGTGTGTTAACCAGAGGCAAAAAGATTCTCTCTCTCTCTTTTTTTTTTGTAATGCAAAACCAATTTATTTCCATGTACGACAATGAAGATTGGGATACTATTAAAAGTAGAGCAGTCTTCTGTCAAATAGAGATCCAGATTTTTAAGTAGCTGCTTTTGGGAACTACTATGATGGAAGACTTGCTGTGTTGCCTTCAGATGTTAAGCCTGTCTGCTTGATGCTTCACCAAACTGTTCGAGATGCCTTCCTTCGAAGTCAGCCTTTCTAATTCCTTCTGATAGCTATGCTGGTATTCCAGATATTTTATGTTCCTCTTCTGTTTACCCACGAACCTTTTCAGGAATTCTAAGAGATCAGTTTCATTCTTCTGAGAAGCCAAGTTCTGCAGGTCTTGCAGGAGCTTGTGTAACCCGTTTTCCAACCCAGAGCCATCACTATAGCTTGCACGTTCGTTCCCCAGTACTCTTTGTCAAGCCTCTTAACCACTGGAAGGCAGACTTTACTCTTACGCTCCTTCAGGTATCTTATGAACTGCCTTGCATGTCCTTTCTTCACCTCAGCTTGGTCTTGGAAAAAGGGGACATACCATTTACTAAATTAGTTTGAGATTGGAAGGGCAGAGCTCTTTGGATGATACCAACCCTGCCTCCCCTATCCTACTCCACCCAGAGACACACTTTGCAGAAGCAGGTCCCCCCAAAACAGGTTAGGCTGTAGAGGCAGTGTGCTGAAAAACAGCTTCTATACTTGTTGAGCAGCTGACAAAAGGAGCCTGTATTAGGAGAATCCTGAGTACTTTTTGATAGCCTACTTTTAGTTTCTGTACAACACTTGGAAGTACTAAAATCTATTCCTTGCCAAATATTTCTACTTTCACTGATTCAGGTCCTTGCAGTCCCCCAGCCTCTCTACATTTTCATTTTTACTTAACACTTGCATAGAACTTACTAGGTACCAGGCCTCATTCTAATTGCTTTGTGATTATTAACTCATCTAATCTTCCTAGGTACTGTTACAATCTCCATTCTATATGTACATGTTTGCATGTAGAAGAGTATGTCTTAATCAGTTCATACTGTTGTGTATACCATAGACTGGCTTAAGCAACAAATATCTATTTCCCCAGTTGTGGAGGTTGGGAAGTCCAAGACCAAGGTGCCAATAGGTCTCACATCGGATGAGGATCTGCTTTCTGATTTGCAGGTGGCTATTTTTTTTTTTTGTACCTACCCGTGGTAGAGTTCAGATAGAGAGAGGTAAGCTCTGTTGGGCATTTTCTTAAAGGGTATCAATCCCCTCCCAAATCACCTCCCACAGACCCTACCATTATAGAGGGGATTAGGCTTCAACATAGGAATTTGGAGTGGGGGGGGCACAAACATTCAGTCCATAGCAGTGTGTGCGTGCATGTATCTACACATTGACATTTACCGGACACCTACTATGTGTAGGATTTCCACTCATTGTGTCATTTAATCCTCACAAGGACCTAGTACAACAGTGATCCCCGGATGATAGATGTGGATGTTGAGGGAGAGAGAAGGTACATAAGATGTCTTGGTAGGAGTGAGAGAAAGAATTGAAGTCCTTAATTTTGAATTTAATGAATGGAGATGTCTATCAACTAGCAATAAGTCATCATGGTGACTAAATGAAATAATGCAGGAGATCCCTGGGTGGCTCAGCGGTTTAGCGCCTGCCTTTGGCCCCAGGGTGTGGTTCTGGAGTCCCAGGATTGAGTCCCACATCGGGCTCCCTGCATGGAGCCTGCTTCTCTCTCTGCCTGTGTCTCTGCGTCTCTCTCTCTCTCTCTCTCTCTCTCTCTCTCTCTCTCTCTCTGTGTGTGTGTGTGTGTCTCTCATAAATAAATAAATAGAATATTTAAAAAAATAAATGAAATAATGCAAATAAAATGCCAAATAAGGAAATTGATACATAGTAGGAGCCCAATATATATTTGTCAAATAGGAATGTCTACTTCCCTATAGAGACCATCTTTGAAAAAGTTGCCTGGGTTTGACCAACACAGAGAATCTACCATCCTGACAGCAAAAGATATTCTACAGAAATTTTCAAATACCTATATTTCCTATAATTTGGACAAATTCTTCTTCCTTCTCTCTTGCCAACCTGTATACACACACACACACACACACAAACACACACACACATACACACACACACTTTGTTCTCACCCTCAAATATGAGGCAGAGAGTGCAGAGACAAGACACCTTTCAGTGAGTCTGCAGACACAGACTCATGGATGGCTTTGCCCACAGGTGGACATGACCCAGAGTACGCCCATGCCTGTGAAACCAGTTTGTAGATACATTGCTCCCTCTTCTTTATATATGGTTTTCAGTGTGCTAGAGCTATTTTATCAGCCAGAATGTGTTCATGTCTTCTTTTATAAGACTTCAACATTTTCTAGAAATAGGCACAGTGTCAAGGCAGAAGAGAAAACTACTTACATGTGTGATATCACAAAAGAAGGAGGAACTAAGGAGAAAGTTTGGAGGCTTGTTTCCATGTTATGGCTCCCAGCTTGTGCATCAGGATCACCTGAGGGATGGGCTCGGCAAGATGCAGACTTCCAGGATGCTACTCTAGACCTTATACACTCAATAGAGAGGTAATTCTGAAGTCTAACACACCCTTTTAAAATAACAGATATAAGAATCTTTTAGTATCTTGAAATAGAATTCATAATAACAATCTATTTACACACAGAATTTGAAACTCTTAATATTAGTAATAATGGGAGGTGATTATATCACTCTTCTAGCCATAATTTTCATCACATCCAGAAAAACCAAAGGATCTGTAAGACTTTGCACAATCTGGTCTCCTGCTTCCTGTCTGAACTCATATCCTATTTTTCTACCTCCTAAGCATGCTTCTCAAGCCACACTGGTCTCCTCACTATTTCTTAAACAGCCTAGATAGATTGCCTCCTTGGGGCCTTTGCACTGCCTTTCTCCATGCCTGAAACATGCTTTCTCAGATGCCTACTGGGCTGACTCCTTAACATCAAGCATTCTCTCAAAAGAAAGATGAATGGATAAAGAAGATGTGGTTTATGTATACAATGGAATATTACTCAGCTGTTAGAAACGACAAATACCCACCATTTGCTTCCACGTGGATGGAACTGGAGGGTATTATGCTGAGTGAAATGAGTCAATTGGAGAAGGACAAACATTATATGGTCTCATTCATTTGGGGAATATAAATAATAGTGAAAGGGAATAGAAGGGAAGGGAGAAGAAATGGGTAGGAGATATCAGAAAGGGAGACAGAACATAAAGACTCCTAACTCTGGGAAACGAACTAGGGGTGGTGGAAGGGGAGGAGGGCGGGGGGTGGGGTGACTGGGTGATGGGCACTGAGGGGGGCACTTGACGGGATGAGCACTGGGTGTTATTCTCTATGTTGGCAAATTGAACACCAATAAAAAATAAATTTATTATTAAAAAAAATATTTATTTGTTGACCATTTATCTGTGAGTTTACTTCTGGACTCTGAATTCCATTTCATTGATCTATGTCAGGTTTTATACCAGTGCCATACTGTTTTGATCACTATAACTTTGCAATAAATTTGAAATAAGGAATTGGAAAAAAAAAAAAAAAGATACCTACCTTCTCAGTGAAGCTTTCCCTGATGACTCTTTAACCTTTCAAGCCCCACCCCCACTCCTGAACTTCATTTCTCCTTCCTGGCTTTCTTCTTATTATTTTTTAAGCACTTTATCACTGTCTAAAATAGAATATATTTTGCTCTATTTTATTTTATTTTTTTTACTGTGTCTCCCTCATCCAAATATAAGCTCCATGATGTCAGGGATTGTTGTCTTTCTTGTTTACTGTTGTAATTTTAGGGCCAGGCACTGGCATATGGTACTCAGAAAACTTGTTGAACGAATGAATAGCAACATGATGCTCATTTCAATATGTTAATCCTACTAGATGACACTGTGAAGTGGTCAGACACTTGAAGTTGTAGATAAGATCTCGGTGAATGTGACATATATAAATGCAGACCGGGTCACTGAATTTTTATTGGTAAATCTGATACCATGGGGAGCATTGTTAACAAGGATGTGATTTTCCAAACTGATAAGTCTTAGTGAGGTTTGAACAAATCAAAGTACACTCTTCCTTTCAATTTACACAGGAATAGCATTCCTGGACGCACTGGTATGTAACAAAACCATACAAACAAAACAAAACAAAAACCAACCTCTTTGTGCTTAGTTGTATATAGTTTGACCCTAGACTTGGAAAATAACCACTTTGTGGGTCTTTTAAAAATCACATGTAAAGGCAATTGTTCTCCTTGTCATACTTCAAGATATCTGGTATCCTTGGCCTTATCCACTAAATATCTAGAGTACCCTCTAATCATTGTGACAATCCCAAAATGCTCCCAGAGATTTCCAAAATGTCATATTGAGAGCTGCTGAGTTAGATACTTTCTGTTTCAAATAACAGAAATTAAACCTGCAGTGGCTTAATAAAATAATATTTATTGCTTCCTATAGCTGATCAGTCCAGGGGTATATCAACTTCAGGGAAGGCTTCATCAAGGATCAAATGATTTAGCTGACACCTCAATTCTACTATTTCGCATTCTCTCTTTCCTCAGATGTATTGGTTCCACCTACCCAGCAATCTCACCAAAATGTCCTAGAGGCTTCATCCTGACCCAAGAGGCCTGCAGCTTATCTCCATCCCTGAGCCAAGCATCTGGCTGGAAAAAGTATGAAATGCTGACAATGAGAGTTCAGCCCTGGGGTTGGGGAGAGGTCATACTGTGCAAACCTCATGACTGACCCCCTGGGGGGAGCAATGGTTTCCCAAAGGAAATTTGAGGGCATATTGCCCTTGGGAGAGGGAACGGGTGCAGAGCAGCAAACAGCAGCTCCCCTAACTCCTGCCGAGTCAGTCTCTCCAGGAGGAGGGCCTGAAACAGCATTCTAACAAACTCCATACGAGATTCTTTTTATTTTAAAAGAGCTTTATTGAGACATAATTTACATACCATAAATTTCATCCATTTAAAATGTACGAGTCATGGGTTTTGGGTATACTCACAGCCTTGTACAATCATCACCATAATCTAATTTTATAACATTTCCTCCCCTTTAAGGGATACTTTGTATCCACCAGCAGTCACCTGCTACCACCCCACCGCAGCCCTAGGGGATCATTAACCTCTCTCTATGTATTTACCTCTCCCGGCTATTTCATATCAATGGAATCATAACAATATGTGGCCTTTTCTGTTTGGCTTCTTTCACTTAGCCCCATGGTTTCAAGGTCTGTCCATGTTGGAGCGTGCATCAATACTTCATCCCTTTCTATGAAAGAGTAATATTCCACCACATGGATAGACCACATTTTGTATCCAGTCGTCAACTGACAGGCAATTGGGTTGTTTCTGCTCTTTAGCTATTATGAATTATGCTGCCATGAGCATTCATATATAGATTTTTGGGTGGATGTAGGTTTTTCTCTCTCGTGCTTTAATACCTGCAAGTGGAATTGCTGGGTCATGTGGTAACTTTATGTCTAACATTTTGAGGAACTAACAAACTTTTCTAAAGTGGCTGCATTATTTTGCATTCTCACCTGCAGTGTAGGGTTCTAACTCTTCCCTATCTTCCACAACCCTGGTCATCATCTTTTTCATTATAGCCATCTTAATGCCTGTGAAGTGGAATCTCATTTGTTTTCATATACATTTCCCTGATGATTAGTGATGTCCAGCGTGTGCTTATAGGCTCTTTCTATACCTTCTTTGAGGAAGTGTTTAGATCCTTTACCCTTTTTAAAGTAGAATGTTTTTCTTTTTATCATTGAGGTGTATAAGTTCTTTATGGATTCTGGATATAAGTCCTTTATTTTCCTTTTTTTTTAAGATTTTATTTATTTATTCATGAGACACAGAGAGAAAGAGAGAGAGAGAGAGAGGCAGAGACACAGGCAGAGAGAGAAGCAGGCTCCATGCAGGGAGCCCGACATGGGACTCGATCCCAGGTCTCCAGGATTAGGCCCTGGGCTGAAGGCAGATGCTCAACCACTGAGCCACCCAGGCGTCCCAAGTCCTTTATTTTCCTATTCTGTGAGTTGTTTTTTTTTTTTTTTTTCATGGTGTCCTAGGAAGCACTGAAGTTTTTAATTTTGATGAAATCCAACACATCAAACCTCTCTTTAATCACTTGTGCTTCGATGTTGCAGCTAAGAAATCTCCAAGGGATTCTTGAGAATCCTAAAGTTTGAGAACCAGATGCCCCTTAAGACAGATTTTAGCTATTTTTATTTTTTTTTCATTTAATTTATTTAAAAAGTTGGCCCTGGTCCTATAGTGGTGAATAAGCCAGATAGGGTTCCTGCTCTCATGGAGTTTGTATCTACCAATGGTGGCATACTATAAGTAAGTAAAAAAAAAATTAGATATGCTATACATTGAAATAAATTTTATATAGAAAAAGCATAGGGAGCTCTGAGAGAGAGCAGAGGTTAGAGAACCTCTTTTGGACTGGTCAGGGAAGACTTCTTTGAGGAGGTGACACTGAAGGGTAAGGAGTCAACCTTTGAAGAGTGGGGGAATAATATTTTATGCAGAAGGGACAGCATACTCACAGTTTTGCTTTGATTAGTTTTATGCAGACTACTGGATTGGAAAAATACTTTATTTTCAAGATGTCTTACCATATGCAGATTCTTCAAACAGCATTTAGGATTCACTTGGACAAAGCCTCTCATTATCTTAGTCCAGAAATCTTTGGGGGACTCCAAAAGGAATTGCTTATGACAGTGCCTTGGAAAAGGAGACTTACTATGTATCTCTCTTTTCTTGAAAACAATTCTCACACAAAATCCATGTCATGTTTTTCACACAACTACACATGACTTAAGTGAAATAACTGATAACAATTTTTCTATCTTTTCTCTGCCTCCAAGTGACTACTGCTCACAGCTCATTATTAGCTCCAGAAGGAAAAAAAAAAAACCTTAAGAGAGCAATTGAAAAAATGCATTTGTTGGCAGCAATTTCTACCCTTGCATGCACAGTAAGTTCTAAGCTTATGAGCTATGGGAAGAAAAACCTTTGTGATAAATAATATATTTGATAACGAGCATCAGGGGAGCAAAGGCTTTCAGTTGAAGAGTTCAAAATGAAATAGAAGAAGTACGGGAAAGGTACCTTTTTACATTATGAGTGGATATGAAGGCACAAGATCCATAATTGTTTTTCTTATTCTCTCCGTGCCAGCCTATTGTGTATCTTCTCAGACCTTTCTTAAGTAACAATTTTCAAAAGGTCTAGCTCTCAGCTCTCAGGCTCTATGGCACCAGATGTCTTACTTACATTATCTCATTTTATCTTTTTAAACGCAACTGATAGGCAGGTATGGGTATGCCTATTTTATATATGAATAAGATGAGATTCAGAAAGGTTAAATAAATAACTCCCTCCGGGTCACAAAGATTAGCCAGTGCCACAGTCCATGCTGATTAAAACAAACAAATAAACTAGGGACTTCAGAATAAAAGTTTAAAATAATCTGCTTTAACACACTGCTTTAAGCTTCTTCAGCATCTGGGTCTCTGGTGACCTAGCCTCTGAGAGGAGTTTCAGCTTCCGGTTTTGGACCAAATAAAGCATCCATCCCATAGGAATATTAAGGCATCCATTAACTTTTTTTTTTCCCTCCCCATTATTCCATTTGTCCCTGAAGACAAGCTGGTGTTTGGGAAGTGCTAGACAGTAAATTATTGCTTTAAATGGTGCTTCAGTGGCCTACTAACAATAAGGAAGCAGCTCCCGCAGTCCCACCCGGTAGATAAGGGAATAATTAATGCTTTCATCAAAGCAGATGGATTTCGGAGGAATCTGGGTCCTGCCCTGGGCACAGCATCAGTTTTCGCCGGAGTTCGGCGAACTGGGCTTTCTGAATTCTGACCTGAGTCTTGCAGACCGGTTTTCTCTTTCGCTCTCCCTCCTTCCCTTAGGCAGTTCACCGCCGGTTTCAACTTTTCTTCCCCTTATTTAGGCTGCAGCACAGAGGACGCCGGGGGCTAGGGGCCGGCCCAGAACGAGGGGAGACGACAGCAGAAAGGGAAGGGTTGTGTCTTCCGAAGTGGCGGCGCCGCGCTCTGCGGGCTGTCCTGAGGCTCCGGGGCCTTTCGGTTCGGAGCAGAGCGAGGAGCGCGGCACGGAGGAGTTGACACCCGCTCGCACGCCCGAGGGCTGTGGGCTCCTCGAGGGCTGGCTCCGCCGCTGCCCCCGGGCTCTCTCCGGGCCGCAGGCAGATGTGCCCAGGCGCCGCGGGCCGAGCGAGAGGTGCGCGGTCACAGGCGGGGCAGGCGGCGCGCGGGGCGACAGCGAGGATGGGGCCGTGCGGGGCCCCGGCGAGACTCCGAAAGTGTGAGCGCGAAGGCGAGGGCAGCGGAGAAAGGGGGACGCACGGCCCGAGGGCTGGGACTGGGACGGAGCGACCGGGTCAGGGAGGGCCCGGGCAGGGGTCCCGGGCGGGCGCGGCGTGGGGGCGAGACAAAGAGCGGCGGGCGCGGCGGGTCGTGGGAAGGCAGGGGCAGAGCGCGCCGGGAGGGCGGGCGGCGCGGGGCGCGGGGGGAGGGGCGCCGGGGGGGGAGAGCGCGGGGGGGGGCGGGCCCGGGGGCGGGGGGCGCGGGGGGGCGCGGCGGCGGGCCCGGGAGAGGGGGGCGGCGCGGGGCGCGGGGGGGGGCGCCGGGGGTGGGGAGAGCGCGGGGGGGGGCGGGCCCGGGGGCGGGGGGCGCGGGGGGGCGCGGCGGCGGGCCCGGGAGAGGGGGGCGGCGCGGGGCGCGGGGGCCGCGGGGGGCGGGCCGGCGGAGGAAGGGCGCGAGCGCCGCAAAGTTACTTGGCCTGCGCCCGCCGGGGTCCGCGTGCTGGCGGCGGGCGGCGGGCGGCGGGAGGAGCGCGGCGGGGCTCGGCGGACTGAAACCCGAAACCTCCAGTCTGCGAGCGCGGCCGAGAGGAAGGAAGCGGCGGCGGCGGCGGCCGCCGAGGCGAGAGGCGGCGGGGCCGGGCCCTGAGCGGCGGCGGCGGCGGCGGCGGCGGCGGCGGCGCGGTGAGCCGGCGGGGTCCGCGGGCCGGGGGAAGGCGGGAGGGTGTCGGCGCCCCTTCCCCCTCGCCTCCCCGCCCCCACGGCGCTCTTCTTTCCCCGCGCCCCCCCCCCCGGCCGCGCTCCGCCTGCGGGTGGGGAGCCCGAGCTCTTTGTGGGAAGATCTTGGGGGCGCGCCCCTCCCCTGCGGCCGGGGGCTGCGGACAGGCCTTTCCCGGCCCGCGCCGATTCCCCACGCCGCCCGCAGCCCCTTTCTACGACCCCCGGGAGGAGGACTGGGCTTGCACGCCCGGGCCGGTGGGGGCCGCGCTCCCTCCGGGCAGGGGGCTCGCGCCGCGCTCGGGGGCCGGTGGGGGCGGGGGGAGCGGAGCGGCCTCGCCCCTCGGCCGGAATCGGCGCGCACCCGGTGAGCCGCATCCTCCCATCCTCCCAGTCGGGCTCGGGGCGCGGTCTCCCCGAGGCTGGGTGGGAGGCGCGCCCAGAAGTCGCCGGGCGGACGCGGGGTGGGCGCCTCGGCCCCACTCATCTGTCAGAGGGAGATTGGGTTAGCTTTGGGGGGACTTGGCCAGCCTCCTGGGCCACAGCTTCACCCCGTGCCACCTTTTAACAAAGGCAGGTGAGATGAGCATGTCTGTTGCATAGCTGGGACGCCCTGGTGCGCTTCCGAGAGGTCCGCTTTCCAGTAACCACACAGCTGTGCATTGGCATCACTTTATAGCACATCTCTGTGGCTGTTTTTGTTCGCTGTTGTACCTTTCATCCGCTTTTTCGAAGTGCTTTCAAGAGCAGGTCATTTGATCTTCTTCACTGTAGAGTAGGGAGGTGGTGTGGTTTTGGAGGGAAGGGACCTTAGTGCCTTGCTGAGTCCACTGGGGGTAATGGTAACTTCCGGCAAGCCTATCTCAGTGTGCTAGAGGCTGGGGAGGATGGACGTCACCGGGTCTCCTCTTTTTTGGGGTTCACCCCAGCCTCCTCTCTCCCAGTGACCTGGCCCTGGAGCTGAGCTGGGGAGAGTCACTGCATCAGGGAAATAAGTGGCCTTCCCTTCTGACCCATCTTACTGCAGCCACTGAGACAGGTGAGAAGAGGCATTTCCCAGGCCCTTCAAGCAGAAAGAGGAGGCAGGAGGACTTCAGGTCACACAGACACAGGCTTTTCAGCCACCTTTCTTTAACTGGGCTTTGTGTCACCCATTCCTGTCACTTCTTCCAAAGCTCCCCTCTTTTCTTGTTCTAGTCCACACCTATCTTGTTTTGTACCTGTAAGATGTTTATAAGCACTTGTCATATACACTTTTTAATATCATTTACTTAACAGCCGGTGAAGTGCAATTAGCCTGTTTTATAGGTAGGGAAACAGACTCAAGAGAGGTAAGTACTCGGCTCAGGGGCCAGGATCGAACTCAGGTCTTTTGACTTTGGCAGCGCTTTTCACACAGGCAGGTCCTTGAACGCAGGACTTCTCCTGGCCCCAGAGTTCTACCACCATGGCAGGGAGATTAGGGACTCCTCAAGAAGAGGCCTGCTTAGCATTTTAGAAACTAAATCCAAAGCCTCAGGTACTTATACCATTCTCTTTGTGTTGCAGCCCTGTGTGGTGGGAGTATCAGAGACGGAGGACTGTGTGGTCAGAGGGGCTGAGCTCTTTGTTTGGGTTCCACGGAAGGCAGAATGGGCTGAACTGGAACTGACCTAAATGTCCACCAAAGGAGGTACAGTTCTGTGGTGTAAACTCTGCTGCTACCTGGGCTGGTCAGTAAGCCTTGCTGCAGGAGGAGGGCTGGCAAGGGGTTGAGGGGGGGTGCCCATTGCTGGCTGGGAGCATGACTCGTTATAAAAAGACATGCAGGTGCCCCAGAACTCTAGCACATTATTGCTTGACCTGGATTTTAGGGGAAGCTGTAAATTTTCATGGGAATAAAAATCTCATGTTTTAAAAGTTGGTAACCAATTCAAAACAGTTTTCAAAATGTGCAGGGCAACCAAATTATGTGTGCAGGCTGGTTGTTTGCAGACTGCCAGCTTGCAACCTCTGGGTTAGACCTCAGGAAGCAATGGGATGCAATAAAGCATGACTTGAGGGGAGGAGTGGTGTCTTCTAGCTGTTTTTCCTTGAGAACAAAAAACATCAACAAAGCTGGAGATGGCTATCAGTCCTGTCTGAGTTTGGAGGAAGGGTTGACTTTATGACTCAGTACTTCATTCATTCAGCCACTGCTAATCTCATCTGATTCTAGTCTTACACCATGAGAATGCTTACGACGGGTATTATCTGTTTCCTTGGCCAGTTATGGGCCCAGCAGGCATTCAGGGCAGATATGTTCAGGGAAGCTGGGAGCATAAAGGAAGGCGTGTTCTATGTGAGCTGGAGTAAAACAGCAGGAGGCACATCAAATTTGGGCTTGGGTTTGTTTTTTACTCAAGTAGCAGGTGAGGGAGTGCTACATCAAGAGCAGAATCTGAAGCCAGGCAGCCTGTACCTCTCTCCCTGCCATTTAACAAACCTGTGACCTTGGATAAATGATAGAAAACATGCCTAGAGTGTAGTAACTTTTTTAAAAACATGAATTATTGTAAGAGATTTTTTTTTTAAATTTATGATAGTCATACAGAGAGAGAGAGAGAGGCAGAGACATAGGCAGAGGGAGAAGCAGGGTCCATGCACCGGGAGCCCGACGTGGGGTTCGATCCCGGGTCTCCAGGATCACGCCCCGGGCCAAAGGCAGACGCCAAACCGCTGCGCCACCCAGGGATCCCTGTAAGAGATTTTTTAAATGTATAGATAAATAAAATTCCCTGCACTTCTGCTCCATTCCCTGTCCTGGATGAGAGGGAACCACTGTAAGTATATGATTTTCTAGGTCTTCCTCAGTGCCTGAGTATATGCCAATGGAGCCTGGAGGTATAGCTGAATATGTAACACCTAGTTTATTGATACTATATTATAAAACGTGATAAAAATATTCTCTGTATTTCCAACTTTAGGACCAACCTTAATATATTGAAAACATTTTTAAAAATACATAAATGGGGATCATATATTATTGTGTGCTCTTTGACTTACTTTTTTTTTTTTTAAGAGATTTTTTTTTTTTATTTATGATAGTCACAGAGAGAGAGAGAGAGAGAGAGAGGCAGAGACACAGGCAAAGGGAGAAGCAGGCTCCATGCACCGGGAGCCCGATGTGGGATTCGATCCCGGGTTTCCGGGATCGCGCCCTGGGCCAAAGGCAGGCGCCAAACCGCTGCGCCACCCAGGGATCCCCTTGACTTACTTTTTTGACTAAACAATGGGACTTGGATGTCTTCCAGTATGAAAAACATAGGGGCGCCTGGCTGGCTTAGTCGGTGAAGTGTGTGACTCTTGATCTTGGGTCATAAGTTCAAGCCCTATGTTAGGTATAGAGATTACTTAAAAAGAAATAGAGGGGCACCTGCATTCCTCAGTTGGTTGAGTGTCTTCCTTCAGCTCAGGTCGTGGTCTAAGGGTCCTGGAATCGAGCTCAAAGTTGGGTGCCCTGCTCAGCTGGAGTCTGCTTCTCCCTCTCCTTCTGCTCTCCTCCCTCCCCCTGCCCCCGCTCATGCACTCTCTTTCTCTTAAATGAATAAATGAAATCCTTAAAAGAAAAAAAAGAACAGGGGTAGCCCGGATGGCTCAGCAGTTTAGTGTCACCTTTAACCCAAGGGCGTGATCCTGGAGACTCAGGATCGAGTCCCTACGTCAGGCTCCCTGCATAGGAGCCTGCTTCTCCCTCTGCCTGTGTCTCTGCCTCTGTATGTGTGTGTCTCTCATGAATAAATAAATAAAATCTTAAAAAAAAAAGAAAAAAAGAACAAAGGACATAGATATACTTCATTCTTTTTAATGACTGCATAGTATTTCGTAGTATAGATTCACCATAATTCATTTAAACAATAGGTTATTTATGGGCCCTTAGACCCATTCCAAGCTTCTCTCTTACAAGCAATGCTATTGTGAACACACATCTCTGTGTACATGAGAGTATTTCTGGATAAAACTTACTCCTCCAAGTGAAACTGGTAAGCCAAAGGGTATATTACTTTAAACATTTATTTAAGTAGCCTTCCCTTTGTTTACTGGGATCTGGTGATTATGCAGAAAAAAAGATTGAATTTATTTACTTAGGTTTACTCTGGGGATAGATAGTATATATAAAGCACAACATTCAAAGGGTGTAAAAGGTAATACCTTCCTCCTACCTCAGCCCTTTTTCCCTTTTTGGACGCAACTAATTTTTCAAGTTTTTGTGTATTTATCTGGAGATAGTCTGTGCATCTGTAGGCAAATAAAATGTGTCTTCTGTTTTCTCCTTCTAAAAAATAAATATAGTAGTATTCTATTCTGCTACCTCATTCTGCTTATGGAGTTTTACAAAGTTAACAAACCTCTTAGAGACCATTCCCTATCGAAGTTCTATGCATTTTAGGTTCTCCCAAGTTTACATTAAAAAAAAAAAAAAGATTAATCAATGTACACTCCTTCACATTGCCCCATGAAATCCTTTTCCAGTTTTCCTGTTGAATTGTGATTTCATCAATTTTTGAGGCTCTTCCTAAATTCTGGTCTTTAATTCTTTTCTTGTTAATAAATCACATATCTTGCCTTTTATGTGTCCCTCCCCAGTTTTGCTTTGCTATGCCTTTGATGTGCCCAAGTGATGACTTTACGCAGCTGAATCTGTATTGCTTTTCTGTGGAACTTCAAGTTTTTGGGCCTGCTTGGGAAGCTGTCTCCTATCTCAAGATTACCTGTTCTAATATTTTCTCTTTTCCTTCCATTCTTTCTTTGCTTTTGTTCATTGAAACGTATTTTACATTACTGTTTCTTTCCTTCTGTCTTTTCTCAGGTTCCCTCATCTATGACACTGGGGAAGTCGGGGTTTGAATTTGCCTGTGAGCCTCGTTAGTCCATATGGGAGCTCTGTTTTCTTTCGTGTTTTAGAGGAACTTTTTTTTTTTTTTTTTTTTTAAATCAGGTCTTAAGGATGAGCTCTTCCCTGGGTGGGAGAAGATGGAAAATGGGCATTCTCAGCAGACACATTGCTGTGCAAAGTCATGGAACAGAGGAATAGCGCTGGGTGTTTGGAGAAGTGGGAGTGATTCAGAGAGCTGCAGTGGAGGGTGCTGCAAATGAATGTGTTGTGCAGGTGGCTGGGCCAGGCCTGGCCTGACCACGCTGGTTAGGAGTCGATCAGTCTAGCAGCGCTGGGGAGTGGTGAGGGAGACCAGAGGTAAGAAGATGAAATAGAAATGTCCGGTAGTCATTGTGGGGAAAGATGGTGAGGCTTGGAGCTGGGGTAGTGGCAGTGACCATGAATTTTGAGTTAGAATTTACTGATGCAGTAGATGTCTGTGATAAGGAATGGAACCAGCCAACATTTATTGCTCTACGTACAGCATCTCACTGAAACCTAGCAAGTCCTATGAAAATCTAAGGCTCCGATATGTTTATTAACCTCCCCAAGGTCACACACTCAGAAAATGTTAGTCAGGGCCTTAGCCCCCTCAGGATTACCTAGCACGAGTACTCTCTGATGTCCTAGGTTTCTGTGTTGAGTGATCTGGGTGGGTGGTGATGTTTTTCCTAGAGTAGTGAAAAACATGAAGAATAGCATATTGAGATGGTAGACGCAGAGATGATGAATTCCATTTTGCACGTGTTCTAGCTGAGGTGCCTGGGTGTGACATATGGGAGGAAACACTCACTGGGTGGGTGGATATGAATCGGGAATTCCAAAGAGTTGTCCGGGATATAGATGGGGATTTTGGAGTCCTCACCATTTAAGTTGGTATACAGAGAGAGCGCACCGAGAGAGATGCTAGGTATTGAATGGGAGTCCTCCTTTAACAAGTGATGAAGATCCAGTTTACATTGGCTTAAGCAGAAAGGAAAGTTATTGGCTCACACCACTAAAAAGCTCAAGAGTGGCTTCAGGCATGGGTTCCAGGTTCAAACGATTTTGTTGGGACTCATTTTCTTACCTGCTCTGGTCTCAGGCTCTCCCTTCAAGATGGCTAGGGAATGCTACCAGGTTCAAATCCAGTGGGAGAGGGGAGCTGTCTTTCTCCCAGCTACCCCAGCAACAGGCCCTATGCCTCATAAACTCAGTGGCTCAGAGGGAGTCGGAATGTACTGGTTGGCGCGGCATAAAGCATGTGCCATATCCGTGAAGGCACATGGACTTCAGGTCTACAAAGGGTGACTCTCCAGGAGAGACTTGGGGACAGCTCTCAGAGCAAAGGGATATAGGGGGATAAGCAGTTAATTTCCTCTACAGATGGGAGAGGAAGAAGTAGTGTGGCAGAGGGCATCCTGGTGAGCAGTGGCACTGACGGGAGCTTAAGGAGGCATGTTGGATTTGGTGAAGAAGTCATCCTTGCTCAAAACAAAGACAGTCATCTGTTTGACACTTGACAGGGACTGCCTTCTAGAGGGCTCACCTTCCTACCTGCATTCTACACCCCACGGTTCTGCGGAGCTGTAGTGACAGTCAGGACTTTGGGCTCTACCGATGATTACGGTAATCACATATGTAGCTAAGTAACTCACTCACTTCTCTGGGCTTCTCTTTCATCATCTGTAAGATAACATGGCTACACTGAATTGCTCCTGTGGCCTCTTTTAGTTCTGAAATGCTGGAGATGAATGAATCTCATCACTTCAAACCACCTTGTTACTACAACTCCAGTC